GTTTCCATTTCTTATTGATTATGTGTTTTTTTAGAATTTGAAGTAGTAAACTTTCATTAGAAATGTTGGCATTTTCTTTGTGTTATTCGTCTTTCTTTCTTTTTTTTATTCATCTCTTTGTGTTATTCATCTAACATCATCATATGCTTCATTATCTATATAAATGCTGCATATATATCACTAAGCTTGAGTGAATCACTATCTAATCAAGCATTTTAGTCAATTTATTTAAAATTCAAAACCATTGCTAATGTAATTCCTATTTAAGGAATTTCTAAAGAAAGATTTTAACAACTATAATCCAAAAAATTATGCTGTGCACTTTAGTCTTTCATGAATAAGATAATTCATCTAAACCATTAATATTTCAAATATTTACACATTTATAAGGCTGCACACACGCATATATGAGCACAATTTACGGGAGTTGATGTGGTGTATTTTTTACTTCTACTTGTGAGTAAACTGTGATAGCCTTTCAACATAAATACTTCGAAATAAGAAGATATTCTTCTATTTGTTGGCTGGTTTTATTTACAACTATTTACAAGCTGGTTAATATGCTTTTGTGAATTAATTATTAGAGAGTGCAATAAGTTGTTTATTTAATTTATAACAAACTTTGTTTTTTTTATTATTTATTTTTAGATAGCATAAATTTGTTATTATTAATACATAAAGTGAAATATAATTAATGCTGCATTGTATATCAAATAACCAATAAACAAGCCAAATCATACTTTGCTTCCTCCCGGTTGCCTTATTTAGATGTAGGAGCCTTATACTCCTACATCTAAATAAAATCTCTCTTTAATGGGAGGAAGCAAAGTATGATTTGGCTTGTTTATTGGTTATTTGATATACAATGCAGCATTAATTATATTTCACTTTATGTATTAATAATAACAAAGTTATGCTATCTAAAAATAAATAATAAAAAAAAACAAAGTTTGTTACAAGTTAAATAAACAACTTATTGTTTTTTTTGTAGATGAAGTTAAGGCAGCTGTTATGGAGTGTAGTGGTGATAAGGCTTCAGGCCCTGATTGGTTTAATTTGCTATTTTTTCAGAAATTCTGGAAGATAGTTTAGCCTAAGGTTATGCATTTCTTGCAGAATTTTCATGCTTATAGCAAGCTTTCCTATGGATTTAACAGCTCATTTATCACTCTTATACCTAAGTCTGATAACCCCATTGGGCTGTCAAATTAAAGGCCTATTAGTTTGGTGGGTAGTATGTACAAGATTTTTTTGATCGGCAAAGAAAATCTTTATTGAAAAAACATTCAAGGAATGAAGTTTACATCAATAAAGAGGAGCTTGGGCCTGAAAAGCCCGAAGCGCCAGTTGGTGAGAAACCAACAAAGAAAGAAGGAGAGGGAAAAAAAAACAAGAAGCATAACCAAAACTCCCAGAGGTTGAAAGACTGCAGCAAAATCAGCCAAAACATAGGTATTCACACACAGTGGAGGGAGCAATTTATGGCAGAGATTTCACACAGCAGCAGACAGCTACACAGACTACCACTCAATTGCTGGACCCAAGAGACAGCAACACAGCCAAATGGACCCAAGCAACATAACAGATCAGCACTATAGCACCACAAATCAGCTACCCCAACTGATAGCACCACATATCAGCACCACAAATCAGCAACCCCAATTGAAACAATTAAGTCCACACAAACCAGCAAGAACAACTTCATCAAGCTCCTCTGTACAGACTTCCACATCAGACCAAAGACCTCCCACATTACCCCTACACACCTGTTCAGTATTGCTTACACCCAGCAACACAACTTAAACCCTACCAACAAAGACCAGTCCACCGTACCTCAAAACAGCCTACCCTACCAGATATCTGACAGCACATCACAGCTCAGAACACCATACCAGCACACCCACCAAAGCACTCCCTCACCTGCATCAGATTAAACACAAAATCCTGGACTGAGAAATTAAACTCACTGAAGACATGCTTCAACCAAAATGCAACCCTATATTTAATTAAATCACAAAGGTCCTCCAGATTTGGGATAGATTTTCTGAATACACACTCATTCCTGCACTTCCACACAGACCACATCACTGCCAATGGAATCACCCTCCAGATCTTCCTCTCCTTCCTCTTTAGCTTCTCCCCTGCCCACCACAAGTGAAGTAAATGCCCTTTGGAGAAGATTGTTGTGTAGCAAGTATATGATTGAAGAGGCTAATTGGATGCCACCAGTGCACTCATCATCTATCCACTCTAGAATCTGGAGTGATGTTCTTGCAACTGCTGGTCGTAACCCACCTTTAGTGGAGTTCTTTTTGGGAAAGTATCAGATAAAGGTTGGTAATGGGTGCAGAATCAAGTTTTGGTATGATAAGTGGGTTGGTGATAGGTGTCTTAAAGAAAAGTTCCCTGGACTTTTTAGTCTGTCAAATGATAAGGAAGGTACACTATCTTATAATTCAGCAAGAAAATCCAGTGCGGAGGAGTGGAACTTATCATTCCGAAGGGATTTATATGATTGGGAGGAGGAGGAGGTAGCTAGTATGACTGCAATTTTACGGGAGGCTCCTTCTCTGAGGGTTGATGTAGAAGACTATCCTATTTGGAATGGTTCTCTTGGTGATAGTTTCAAGGTTTCTGATCTTTATCGATTATGCGATGCTAGTATGGGCCGTCAACTCAAAATTTGTAAGTTTGTGTGGAATAATGTTATTCTCCCCAAAGTCCAATTTTTCGGGTGGTTGGCTTGGAGGAATAGAGTTAAAACAGGGGACTTTTTATAACATATTGGTGTCCTTAATAGTAATGCATCTGTCTTATGTGCCTTTTGAAAAAATGAAAATGAATCTGCTTCTCATATTCTATTACACTGTCCATTTTCTTGGCAAGTTTGGTCTGACCTAATACTATGGTGAGGGTGTGTTTGGGTGGTGCCAAGGACTATTGATTGCAAATTTCATTGGTGGATGGGTTGGGATTATAAGAAATTGGTTAGGAGATTGTGGAGAGCCTTACCTTCTATTGCTCTATGGTCCATTTAGAAGTTAAGAAATGATTGTATATTTAATGGAGTACAGCTATGTGGGTCTGAGTTATGTGAGACCATTAAGATCAGATTTGTTATGTGGGTTAAAGCTTCCTCTAAGGGATTTATGTACTCTACCATGGAATTAATTAACAATCTGGATCAGATTAAGCATACAGCTGAGGGATGCAAGTAGGTTTTTGTTTGAATGCTGGTGGCTGTAGGTGCGATGTTGAATTTTGCTGTGTGGATCCAGTTTTGGTTGCAGGTTACTGGTTTGTGTTCTGTTATGCACTGCTGTTGTATGCTTTGATGAAGCTTTTGGTGTTGGGCTCAGAGGCTTGGTTAGGTTTGCTGATGTATGAGATTGCTATGGTCTGAACAGATAACTTGAGGTGTCCTTAGACTTAAGTGGTTTGGGTAAAGGGGAAATCATTGGGATATGATGTTGGAATCTGGTCTGCAGTTGTGGTGCTCTGTTTGCTAATGTGTATGTTGCTGATATGTGGATGGCTGCTATGTTCTGCAGATGGTGGAGTTGTTTGGCCTACAGGTGGTATGTTGCTTTGTTGTGGCTGTATGGTCTGAGGTTGAGGAGTGGTAATGCAAATGCCCCTCCTATTATGCATTTGAGAACCTGAGTCAGGTGCTACCATGCTTTTGAGATGTATGGGTTGGTTGGCTGCTGTGATCTGCAGGTGGATGGCTGCTGTTTTCTGGTGTCTAAATGGCTTATGGTGGCTGATGTGTTCTGTCAACAGACTTGTTTAACAGGGGAGTGGTAATACTAATGATGCTGGTGTCGAAATGACACCTCCTGGTTGTTGCTGTGAGGAGTGGAGTTCTTTAGTGATAAAGATGAAGCAAGGGCCTGCTGCTACTGATTGAAGTATTTGGCTGTTGAGAGCTCAACCTACTAATTGAAGTATTTGGTTGGAAGAGACTGGAGATGTAGCAGCTTAGTGGCTGATTTTCTGGTATATGTATTAGGTGGAGTTATGTATTAGAAATGGAGGTAGTTTGATCTGGAGCAAGTCTGGTGGAATATTTATTCTGCTGAAATTACTCTACTGCTAGTGCTTTACTCAGCTGATATTCATGGTAGCAGTGGTCTAGACAGGTTCCATATTGTTTGTTGAGTGGCCTATTGTTTTGGTCTCCTGATATTACACTGTTATGTTTGTTTGGTTGTGTAAGCTTTTGGTTGTTAATCTCATTCTCTTTGGGTGTCTTTGATTGGTTCCTCACCAATCCTGGGTCGAGAGCTAGCATATGATTGTGCTCTCTTTGCGGTGCCAACCTAGTTGGGATCGTTAAGTTAGTTATGATGCTTTCTGCTCTCCCCTACTTTGTTGATGTATTTTTTGCATGTATATGCTTTTTTCATCAATAAAGTTCTTTTTTTGCTGATCAAAAATAATAATAATAAGTGGAACATGAGAAATTTTGAATTTCAATATTGCCTTTTACTGTGATTTAATTTTGTTTGTATAATATATGAAACGGAATCGTTTTTAAAAAAAATAAATTTAAAAAAAAGGTCGTTACTTATATTAATATATGTGATTATATGTGAGTTAATTTCACTTTTATCTCTTAAACTATCACATTTTTTTCTATTTCAGCCTTAAACTATTAATTTCATCTCACTACCAGAAATAACACATTTACCGACCACTTTTGTCGACCAAAAATTTTTTGGTCCCAAAAAAATCACATTTGACTACTAAGAAAAAAATTGGTAGGCAAAAGTTCATACTTTTACCGACTAAAGTAATTTAGTCGCTGAAAAGTGATTTTTCGCAACTAATTTGAAATATTGGTCGCAAAAAATTTAGGCAGGAAAGTGAAACACTGGAAAGGAGACTAAAATCTTTTAGCGACTATTGCAATTTAGTCGTAGATTGCAAAACGACGTTGTTTTGCTTGTTAAATGCACAAAGTCCAAATAGCCGACCAACACTGTTGTAGGGGAAAACAAACTCAAACCCTTATAATATTTCACAAAAACGCGCTCAATCGATCCCATCCTCTCAATTGTGCCACTCATTTCACCTCTTTACCATCAACACAGCCGTCCGCCGTCCTCGCCTCTCCACTGTCAGTGCCGCCGCCCATCTTCGCCTCGCCACCGTTATGTAGGTTTATTTTTTCAAGCGTCTGTCTTTCTCTGTCTATCTCTCTCTGTCTCGCTTTTTCTCTTTGATTTCGCTTACTCCTCTTTCTCATACTCTTCTTGCTCTAAAGAGAGCATTTCAGTGGGAGAAGGAGCTTTGTAACTCCGTACAGCTCATCGACATCGTCGTTACACCTGTCCAAATCAAGCCCCTCAGCTCTGGAAAGGTCGTCACTTGGTCTCGCCTCGCCGTCAAGAAATCCTCTACCGACACTGCCTAGTAAACATTTCTTCATTTTTTGTTGAAACCAACCCATTTGTAAAATCAATCAGCATATGTAGGGTTTTCAGATTGTTTTGTTAGTCTGGTCTTGTTAATACCAAAATGGCATCATTAATGATTAGTGGGTATTTTGGCCCCAATTCTTGGGTTTAGGAATTTTGTTACAAGTAATCTACAATTACAACATAAAAATTTGTCAAAACCACCAAAAAAGTTGCATTACTTTTGCATGAGATATGCCTGCACACTAATTACAGGGCTCCGGAATTCTTTCTTTCACTCGTTGATTCTCAAAAAAAAGATTCACGAGTTGCACCCAAGAGCATGCCTCCTTGTCGTTGATCTCACAGCTGTACTACCCAAATGCTCTCTCTTGATGTTTGGTGGTGCATTCTCTTTCATGTCAAGTGTCATTGGCTTCTTGGGTGTTTTTTGAATCAAACTACTTTGTTCGTTCTTCCTTCTAATTGTTGAACTCAATTTGGTAAGTGAGTTTTTCACTTCAACTGATTCTGAGTTTGGTCTCCACATCTCGGTAGCGTCTTCAGCAGCAGCAGTGCCTGTAAAAGGAAATAACAAGACCAACCATTCATTGATAATAGATGTCAATATGTTCAATAATAAAATACAGATAAAATCTATGATTAGAGCTCTTAATGAAGCTCTGAATACCTCCATCAACAGCTAATTCAGTGAATTGAGATGACTGATCTTCAATCATTGAATTTGATTTCAACTTCACTTCTGTGACCTCCAACCAACATCTTGGTAATACTACCTTCTTCTGAAGATTTGAAACCATCTAGTCTCTCAGATCAACTGAGTCAGCAGGTTCATTTATACAAATGCTAGATTTCTCAACCTCAACTAATTCATTCTCAGAATATTTGCAATCACTGGACTTCTTGACCACAATCTTTTTCCTTCATCAAAACTTCATCAATTTCATAGATAGACTCATCTGAAACAAAACTACCATTTGGTTCATTTCCTTTCGTCACACCGGCAACAGCATTATCCTCTCATGTAAAATTAGTTTCTGAGATTTCTGAACTTGATTTCATAACTTCATCTCCTAAAAACATATTGATATCTGAAATGCTGAAATCAAAACTATGTTGTGAGGCTACATAATCTATTGTTCCTGGAAAAAAATAAAATCATTAGCTGTGAAGATACAGCCCATAGAATTAAATCAAAGAGAATGATGAAAAGAATAAAGAATAATAATAATAAAATCCAATACTAGTTAAAAACCTTATATGTGTAAAGAAGTAGGAACTAACTGTGATAAGTAGCACAATCCTCATTTATTGCATGTTTTAATGTAGAAGCGTGGCAGAAGTTTTGTTGTTCTCCATACTCACCAGCACATTGGACCATGACATTACGTAATGCAATGAACCATGCGCTTGATCAACCTCCTCGGCCATGCTCTTAGTTTCACTTCACTTCCACATAAAGGATTGTTTAATGCCAAACCACCAACGCCACTCACAAAGGCATCTTCCTCCAGCACCTCTTCTTGGCCACCAGTTGCGTGTTAGAAAATTTTCGTTCACTAAAAACATTTTCTCCAACATTGGAGCCATCTGTAGCGTCAATTGAAAGATTATCCACCATGCCACCTACAACCTTCTCCTTTGCTACATATTTATCCTCCCTGAAAGACTTGTCCAAAAAAGCAGGACCATTGCCTATACAACAATGAAGTAAACACAATATAAAACATGAAACAATGTAAAAAGCTAACTTTCTCATTTGTGTTGTATAAAGTTAACAAGCTCAGGAAATGGAATAACAACTCCAAAACCAGAAGTTTATACCTCTGTCTTCATTGCAGTCAATAGAAACAAGAGAGGAAACTGTTAAACCATGATCATCAAACAGGTCGACTTGATCAACTTGCTAATTAGAATCTAGCATTCCTACAATCAAATTTTTAGATGTAATTATGAAATTTGACACTATTGGCTATTGCTAAGCCCAATATGCATTTTCTTAATCCGATCTTGCTGACTTCTGGGTTATTCAATTCTTTTGGTTTCATGTCTTGCATAAATATAATGTGCATGTGTGTGTGTGTGTGTGTGTGTGTGTGTGTGTGTTTGTTGGGAATTTCTTGCTTGGATGATCTAAGGACTGAGGTTATAGATCTTGGTGATATATATATATATATATATTTTAACAGATGTTGGCTTTGTGGCTAGTCTAGTTTTGGGATTTTATGTTTTCCTTGCATAGCAAATATATTGATCATTGTTTTGTTGTGTTTCCTAGCCTAAAATTTTTATATATTTGTGTTTTATGCAAACCCAACTGAAAGATATATCCTTTTCTTGAGTGATCACTCTGTTATTTGCATTTTTAAAAAATTTGTGTGGGTACATAAATCTTTGATCGATTATGGTGTTTTGAGGCATACAATCCAAATCTTAATGTTCTATTTGTTTTATTTTCATTTGTTTATAACTAATTTATTTGGGTTGTAATAAAATACAAAATACAGATCCTGTTAAATTGCTTTAATCTTTTTTGGTAAATGGATATATCATATCGAACTAGCTAGTTCGATTGCTTTCATACTTTTTTAATTATTATTTTTCAATTTTTAAGAGACTTATAGTGTCCTTTATAATTAGCCTTGCACATCCAATATTCTTTATAGCACCATGGGGATATAACCAATGAATAACAGATATAAATGGTATTAGTAACCATGTCTATGCAGACAAAAATGTACTAATCTTTGTTCTCTTTATAAATAGTCTTCAAATTTATGGAACAACTAAAGGGATGAATAGAAAGCCAACTTGGAAAGTTGTTCAAGTAATGATGATGATTCATCTTGAGTATAATTGTTATATGTAGCTTTCTAATAAAAATCACATTATTTGTATGTAGTGCCCACAACAACCGACACGTGTGGAATGTGGATTATGTAATGAGGTACATGAAAGACCTTATTTGAGATCAAAGCATCCTAACCAAGACAAATGTAAGATCAATTCTAATAGTTGTTTACTAATTATTTATGAATGACCTTTCATTTAGTCGTTGGTTCTTAATGACCTCTTGTAGTTCAATGGGAAAACGACTTACATGGAATCCATACTCGATGTGTTTGGAGTGGATTACAGCCCCAAACATCCTTCAATACAAAACCCCTACTATACAATGAGCAGAGAGTGCAGTCATAGAGGAAAGTGAGTGGGAATCATAAAACAAGACTTTTGTGTACACATCTCCACACAATTAGCAGGGTGAAAAAGCCTAAACACATATACAAAGGGCTTTCCACCCTGCACATCCTTCACTCTAATCCTAATAAAAATTAAAATCATTTTAAGAGCCTATAAATCCAAAAAACACACCAGATTTTATCTATGAATAAAAATTAGGGACCCATAACCATTTGGAGGTCCAAGAAACAAGTATCATAAAAAGAAAAAGAAAACAATTACTGGTATAAATCCCTCCAAGAAACAAACACCAGACCTCGCTACAATAATGTGACACACAAGTGGTGAGAAATTAGCTACTATTTGCTATAACATGGCTTTCCAAGAACTGCTATATATCCCAGAGGCTGCATCAGATACCATTATTCTTGTTAAGATCACAAACAATTTCGACCAACAAACTCCAAAGAAAGCTTTATTCACAAGGACAACATTAGCCAATCATATCACACTTCCCACCTTGGGGCAACAGACCACTCATCAGAAGATGATCCATGAAATTATCCCTAAACCTTGAACATTTTCTTTGAACCATCTAATTTAGGTACCAAATCACAACAAGAACTAAATATTGAAGAAGAAAAAAAGGTCAAATGAGATAGAAAGAAAGGTAAAATGAGATAGAATATCGATTTTGAATTTTGAAATGCTGCATAAATGAGATAGAAAGAAAGGTAAAATTATCACTTTTGAGTAATAATTTCTAGCTATGAAAGCTTGGTTGTAGATTCTGTAGATTGGCTACTTCACACAAAAATTTGCTAACAAACTCACTTTTTAATTCATGGTATATGGATGCCTTAATATTAAATAAAAATTCCCTTTTGTTTCTCTATGTCAGGATGATCAAGCTAGAACCATAGTTGAGGTACTTGCAAAGGATGGGAAACCAGTTAGTGTGGACACGGTCTCTCTCTCTCAAATAAATTTCTTTCCTTGTTTCCATTTCTTTAATTATTCAATGCAGAGTCGATTGTTGTCTAAAACATTCCATTAGTTTTTTGCAGCCTCTATTTACCATTGAGCCATGAAGAATTAAGCCTCTATTTACCATTAACAAATTGCAAATAATAACAAAACATTGCTACTGGTGCACTGACATTGGTGTTACAGAAGGATATCGTCAATTTGAAAATACTTTTTGTAGTATGCATATATTATTGGGTAGTTTTCTAGGTGTTATTTATTTCATGTGTTTGAAAAATAATTACTTGTTGAGCTCACATACTTGCGGTTTGTTTAATTTTAGGTACCATTGGGTATTAGTAGTCATTGATCTATCGTTGATGATAGTGTACAATCTTGATTCATTTTGTCATGGTCAAATCGACTCAATTTGAAAATTGTAATAAACACGTAAGTTTATTGTTTTTGTACATTTCTTTGCAATAGAGCTATTCTAATGACAATGTACTAATCTTTGTTCTCTTCCTACAACATCACCACACAGTTAGCAGGGTGAAAAAGCCTAAACACATATACAAAGGGCTTTCCACCCTGCACATCCTTCACTCTAATCCTAATAAAACTTAAAATCATTTTAAGAGCCTATAAATCCAAAAAACACACCAGATTTTATCTATGAATAAAAATTAGGGACCCACAACCATTTGGAGGTCCAAGAAACAAGTATCATAAAAAGAAAAAGAAAACAAGTACTAGTATAAATCCCTCCAAGAAATAGACACTAGACCTCGCTACAATAATGTGACACATAATTAGCTACTATTTGCTATAACATGGCTTTCCAAGAACTACTATATATCCCAGAGGCTGCATCAGATACCATTATTCTTGTTAAGATCACAAACAATTTCGACCAACAAACTCCAAAGAAAGCTTTATTCACAAGGACAACATTAGCCAATCATATCACACTTCCCACCTTGGGGCAACAGACCACTCATCAGAAGATGATCCATGAAATTATCCCTAAACCTTGAACATTTTCTTTGAACCATCTAATTTAGGTACCAAATCACAACAAGAACTAATATTGAAGAAGAAAAAAAGGTAAAATGAGATAGAATATCGATTTTGAATTTTGAAACGCTGCATAAATGAGATAGAAAGAAAGGTAAAATTATCACTTTTGAGTAATAATTTTTAGCTGTGAAAGCTTGGTTGTAGATTCTGTAGATTGGCTACTTCACACAAAAATTTGCTAACAAACTCACTTTTTAATTCATGGTATATGGATGCCTTGATATTAAATAAAAATTCCCTTTTGTTTCTCTGTGTCAGGATGATCAAGCTAGAACCATAGTTGAGGAACTTGCAGAGGATGGGAAACCAGTTAGTGTGGACACGGTCTCTCTCTCTCTCTCAAATAAATTTCTTTCCTTGTTTCCATTTCTTTAATTATTCAATGCAGAGTCGATTATTGTCTAAAACATTCCATTAGTTTTTTGCAGCCTCTATTTACCATTGAGCCATGAAGAATTAAGCCTCTATTTACCATTAACAAATTGCAAATAATAACAAAACATTGCTACTGGTGCACCGACATTGGTATTACAGAAGAATATCGTCAATTTGAAAATAATTGTTGTAGTGTCCGTATATTATTGGGTAATTTCTTAGTGCTATTTATTTCATGTGTTTGAAAAATAATTACTTGTTGAGCTCACATACTTGCGGTTTGTTTAATTTTAGGTACCATTGGGTATTAGTAGTCATTGATCTTTCGTTGATGATAGTGTACTATCTTGATTCATTTTGTCATGGTCAAATCGACTCAATTTGAAAATTGTAATAAACACGTAAGTTTATTGTTTTTGTACATTTCTTTGCAATAGAGCTATTCTAATGACAATGTACTAATCTTTGTTCTCCTTATAAAGTAGTCTTCAGATTTATGGAACAACTAAAGGGATGAATAGAAAGCCAACTTGGAAAGTTGTTGAGGTAATGATGATGATTCATCTTGAGTATAATTGTCATATGTAGTTTTCTAGTAAAAATCACATTAATTATTTGTATGTAGTGCCCACAACAATTGATACGCGTGGAATGTGGATTTTGTGTAATGAAGTACATGAAACACCTTATTAGAGATCAAGGCATCCTAACCAAAACAAATGTAAGATCAATTCTAATACTTGTTTACTAATTATTTATGAATGACCTTTAGTTATTGGTTCTTAATGATCTCTTGTAGTTCAATGGGAAGACGACTTACATGGAATCCGTACCATTGCATGTGGAGTGGATCAACTTCGTCCTAGAAAACATGTGATTATCTTCTATCTGTAAGTATAAAAAAAAAAGGGAAAAGTGAAACGATTTAGCTTTTATTTAACTTGATTAATGTCTTTTGTGTTTCATTGCTATTAATGGTTTCTATTTAGCTTCTATGTTATGGATTAATTGATCTGATTAAATTTTTGAGCATGTTAATACTTTCATTTAGTTTATGGCTTTCATCTCAAATAAAAGTTATAATTGCTCAATTCTTGACATTCTTTTTCTTTTTCTTTTTCTTTGGTACAAATGGATGAACTTGTGCACGAAGCTAAATTATACAGGACTAATTAGCACTATAAGTATTTTTGGAAGGATTATATATTTTTGGATAAATGTGTATGGAAAATATTTCGATAGACTAGTAGTTATATTTTTGAATGGGTGTATATGGAAAATATTTGGGTACACTATAAGTTATATTTTTTGATAGATACGCATAGATAAAAATTTAAAACATAATAACAAGAACCGCAAGTAGATGAAGAACATGGATTATGAAATCAAATTTGACTAAAATTGAACAACAGAATTGGAATGCACTAATTAACCAAAATCATTTAATATAAAACTTTTAATTAAAATACAAAAAATAACTTACAATTACAATCGTAGCAACTGCAAGGATCTTAATTGGGTTACAAACAGAGATGATTAATTCTCACTCAGAGCACTTTGGTTTTTCTTACAACAGTTGAAGGGAAAGAAAATTTGAAGAATGCCTGAATGACTAAAATTGATTACAATATATAAAAAAGAAAAGTAGAGCAACATGTGACTGAGGAAGGCAGCTGGCAGCATATGAGGCAAAACAGATGCTGTCGGTTGCTTTCGGCTGATTGATTGATCAGTTGAGCAGCTTCAACAAAAGTTGATTGAGTGAACAGTAAAAGTGAACAGTAACTTTTACTATTCATCACTTTCGGTAGAACAAGTGAATAAAGGAATCAATACAAATTGGCAGCTTTTCTCAAAAGAGTATTGATTGAAGCTAATTTGTATTTATAGGGAATCCTATGTTGATCAGGCATATGGGTCCTGAGCATCTTAAAACTCAGATCTTCCATATGAGATGGGTTGAGTAGTTGAACCTTCAGAAGATTGTGACTGGTCTGAACTGTCTTCTGAATTATCTGAACTGGTTGACTGGGCTTCACCTTGATCCATGATTTTTTGAACTAATTGGAGTACTTCATCCTTGGATAATTTGGATTTGCTTTTGGATTTGACTTTGGGCTGAGCAGGAAGTGATATGGGCTTTGACTGAGCCTTGGATTTGGATTTTGATTTGGGCTTTGGTTGAGTCTTGGGCTAAGCTGGTACTGTAGGAGCCTTGGACTTAGCCTTGGATTTTGATTTATCAGTTGTGGGCTTGGAACCACTAGATGAGGGGCTTCCAAGGTTGATTGGAGGAAGACTGGGCTGACTTCCTTGGCTGATTGCAGAAGTTGGGTTCTACTGAGCTTTTAGCAATGGCAGGGGTAGAAGCATATTGATCAATGGGAAATTCTTCTTGAACAATTTCAAATATGCGAGGCACATTGAATTTAGCCCACCATTTGACTGAGTGTTGTCGAATGATTATATTATCATCAATTCCATAATGCCATTTAAATATCCAAGGAATTTTGTATTTGGATATAAAAATTAACAAAAATGGAAATGTTCTCTGATGAGCAGTGAATGGGTAAACAGAAGCAAAATAATTAATTAGCTCAATAAGATCACCAGGAAGGATATCTGAAATAGCGTCATAATGGGTCCACCATCGCAGAAACCAGGAAAGTAATTTAGACTTGAATTTTTTATCAAAAGAAATGAACCAGGAGTCTTGAACCAAGTATCAATGTAATCATGGTAATTGTATTGAATAGAGTGACCAGGTAAATCACGAAACTGATAAGGAGGACCCCACTCAGTTAAGGAAACAATGTTATGAATGTAAATAGAATGATACAGAACCTTGCTAGCATAGGTTCGATCATAAATGGGTTTGATCAAAACTGATTGGTGATGGATCAAAATATCCTTGTAATAGGTGAGTGTTTTCTCTGGATGTGAAAGGATGAAATGGCATCCAGAGCCAAAATAGGATTTAGCAATTTCATGAATAATTTGGCCTTTGGGGTGACTAGTTTCTTTGTAGAACAAATTAGTGGTGTGTGATTTGGTATAATCAGATCGAGATGATCGAACTGGGTTAGCAAGAAATGGAGTAACTAAAACTGTTTGGCTGGAGGAAGCAAAAGGGTCTGAGGCCAAAGTAGATGAGTAATTGGGTCGATAAATGTTACCCAGGACTTGGTAACGGTTAACCATTTCAAGAGGGTGAGATTGGGTAACTGACTCCGAAAGAGAAGGAACAAGAAGTTGATTAGGTTTACTAGAAGATGGGACCAAAGCCTTGGAGGGAGGCCTTGGACGAGACATTTGTTAAGCAAGAAATAATGATTAGCAACCAGAAAGAAGATCTAAATAATTCTGATGATGATTTAAACAATTGTAATTATGAGCAAGTAAATTGCGACGAGCGTGGATCTGGTGGTAATTGATATATTGGGCTCTTTTGGTAGTTGGTCTGGCTAATTTGAGGCGGTGATTTCGGTAGGATAATTGTTTAATCAGGGATTTGAAATAGGTAATTCGGGATTTATGGTTGGCAATTTGTGGAGTAGCACTCATCCCTTACACCCCTGTAAAAATTCCCGAGTAAGAAAATCAGGAAGGGAATTGTGGCAACCAGGGATATAAGTAATATCAAAATTAAAAATACTTAAAATAGATTGCCAACGGACAAAAATTTGCTTACTAGCAAGATTTTGAACATCTTTTTCCAAAACATATTTAGCGGATTTACAATCAACACGAAGTAAAAAAATTTTATTTAAAATATCATCTTGAAATTTTTGAATACATAAAACAGTAGATAAAATCTCTTTTTTAATAATATTATAATTTAATTGTGCTTTATTCCAGACACTAGAATGATAACGAACAATTTGTTCAGAAGATTGAGGAGTGACTTTCTGGAGAAGAATGCCACCATAACCAATATCAGAAGTATCAGTTTGAATAATTTTGAATGAATTTTCAGTAGGAATCCAAGACAAGGAAGAGACTTAACATAGTGTTTGACTTGTTTAACAATAGCAGTATGAACAGAAGACCAAGGAGGAGGATTATCCTTTAACCTATCAAACAGAGGTTGACAGACTTTCCTAAGGTCTTTATAGAATTTAGCAATGTAATTGAGTGATCCTAAAAACCGTTGTAATTGGGTTTTATCAAGAATCTCATCAGGAAATTTAGACGCAAATTCAATAGAGCGACTAATAGGGAGAATAGTATTGTGGTGAATATCATAACTTAAAAATCTGACTTTAGTTTGAAACAATTTGATCTTAGAAGCAGATATAACTAAACCATGACTTTTAATTGTATAAAAGAATGCAGTTAAATGTTTCCAATGGTCATGAATTGATTTGGAGAAAATCAGGATGTCATCAATATAGACAATAGAAAAATGACTAAATGGGTTGAATATGTCATTCACTATATTTTGAAATTCACTGGGAGCATTTTTTAATCCAAAATGCATGACATTCCATTCATATTGACCAAAGGGTGTATTAAAAGCAGTTTTGTATCTATCTTTAGGATGAATTTAAATTTGCCAAAAATCACTTTTTAAATCAAATTTACTAAAAATAACAGCTTGACTAAGTCTTTTAATCAAATCTTTTTTATTAGGAATAGGATATCGAATCCATTCTAAAACAACATTTAATGGTTTATAGTTGATAACTAGGCGAGGGACACCTCGTTCTCATTCAACATTTTTATTGACATAGAAAGCTGGACAAGACCAGGGTGATTTACTTGTACTAATGATTTGATTTTTCAATAATTCATTTATTTCTTTTTTACACATTTCAAGTAATTCATGATTCATTTGAATGGGTCTAGATTTAGTAGGAATTTGTCGTTTATCAAAATTCTTAATATATGGTAAACTTACTACATGCTTTTTCCTATGCCAAAATGCAGTAGGTAAAGTTGAACAAACAGTTGATTCTAATTTTAATTTAAAATCATTAATTTGAGAAACAAGAACTGGATCAGTTAATTGTTGGTCGATTCGTTTATAATTAATTTCTGCTTTAAGAAAATTTAAATGTCGAGTTAATCGGTTAATAGTATGAGAAATAGAACAATCTTTTAATTGATTTGATTCTAGCATTTCAGGTGGAGATAAAAATTTAAATGTAACAAGTTGGCCTAAAACCTGAGTAGTTATTCCTTCACTGGATGTGGTAAATGGATATAGCAAATACATAAATGGTGTACCTAAAATGATTTTATCAGTCATATTTTTAACTAAAACAAATGAGGTTTTGAAACAAATATCATTTTGACAAATATGAACTTTAAGTAATTTATATTTAATATGCATTCTACTACCATTAGCAGAGGTTAATTTCTCATGACATTTTTCATAATATTTAGTATGAAGTAAGTCTTCTTGAATGCAATTTAAATCAGCACCAGTATCAATTAAAGCAATTAATTATAATTTAAAGTCATTAATAGAAATTGTAATTTTGGAATACCATTTTTGCATATAAATTTTATTAATTAGATTTAATCGTTTATCTTCAAGATTATCAGATTGGGAACGATTGTCTAATAAGAGCTTTTCGGGATTAGTATGATCAGAATCATGTTCAGATTCATGTGGTGATTCATTAGGTGTTGTATTCAAACTGGGTTGGAAATTATCTAAACTTTGATTAAGTTTTAGGGTAATAATTTCGTCTTCCAATTTTTTATCTTTATGTTGCAAGTCTCGAATAGTTTGTTTAATTTGATTGATTTCAGATTGTAAATCTTGAAGTGTAATTTCTTTATGTTTATTTTTAAATCTTTCTAGAGTCTTAGATAAACTAATAATAGGTTTATCAAACTTAGGTTTATTATCTGAATGAATTAATAAATATTTTAATTTATCAATATATTTTTTGTTTTAATTTGGGATCATCCAACTTACTAATTAATTCAATTAAAGCAGATTTTTCTTGAGTTTGTTTTGTAAGAACAGTAATTTGTTTAACAGGTTTACAGCAGACATCATTACATCCTAAGGTTATGTTATTATCATCAGAATCAGTACTGGATGAAGTATCATGAGAGGAAGTTTCTGGATTATCAGAAGAGGAATTACTAACAGATTGATTTAATTGGAAGATTTCAAATATTTGATTCTTAGATTCATCATTTAGTTGTAATTGATTAACCTTATCTTTTAATTTTTGTTTTTCTTTACATTTATTAGAATAATGACCTTTTTTACCACAGTTATAACAAGTAATGTCTTTATTAGATTTAGATTTTGGATGTGATTTTTTGTGATATTTCTTTTGGGTTTAGTATAAAATTTATCATTAGATTTGGCAGGTGAATAATTCTTTTTGAATTTATTAGAATATTTGGATTTATATTTATTCTTAGAATATTTAAGTGATTTCCTACGAGAAGGTGCGACAGGAGGTAAACCATATTGTTCACAGAAATTTCCTAATTCATATTTAGCTTTGTGTTTATCTTTAGTGGCTTTTTGACTAAGTTTAAGATCAATACACATTTTTAATCCTTCTTTTTGAATAGTACTAATTATATCTCCATAGGTTAAATTATCATATTCAATAACACTAGTAAGTTGACTAAGAACATCTTGAATTTTGTGTGCAAACAAACTAGGTAATCCATTAATAAATTTTTCTTTCCAAAATGATTTAGTACAGTCTTCTCTTAACATAACTCTAGAGGTAAAGACATCTTTATACCATCTAAAATCACTTAAGGTTGGACAGGTAAGATTACTAAGTTGATCATGTATGCGAGAATAGATATTAGTAGGAGTTCCGATAAAATGTCGAACAATTATGTAGATTAATGCATTAATACCATCAGGGTGGCAAAATCCAATATTTTCATCAAAGATAGGCAAACCATTATCATCAGTTTGATTAGCATAAATTATGGATTCTCTTTGATCTTTAGTTAAATATTTTTCCCACCAAGATTTGAGCATACCAGTAAAACCAGAAGTAATTAAAGTAACAATTTCAGGTTGAGAATATTGAGGATAATTAGAGAGATAACTATTGGAAACCATAGATAAATGATTTAATTTTTGGAGGATTTGATCTTCACTAAGACCATCAATATTCCATTCGTATAATCGTTTAGCAGAAATAGAAAATTGATTATTAAGATTAGTTTCTTCAAATTGGAGGCCAGGAGGAGTAGGTCGAGAATACCAATTTTTGGTAGTTTGAGGATTAACTTTTGGATAATGAATTTTATCAAGGTTAAAAGATTGGAACTGTTGAGCTAATTGACTTATTTCATTATCAGTGGTTTCAGTTTCAGATTGGGTAGAAACAATTGCACTACTAGGTTGTTGATTTAAAACAATAAGACCTTTATCTTTAGAAGGTGAAGCATTATCAGAAGTAGATAGTTTAGTAAATAATTTTTCAATAGCTTTGACAGTAGAATTATCATTAGTAACTAAACTAGTTCGTTTGGAACGATTACTAGGCAGATTAAGTAAAGGTGGTTCTAAAGGTTGTTTAGTGGATGTGTTTTGAACAGAATCTAAAGTGGTTTCTATCTTGTCTAATTGTTTACCAATTGTGTTTAAACATTGATTAGTATAATTATTTTGTTCAATAACCTTTTTAATTTCATTATCATTACCAGGTAATTTGAAAGGTGAAGCAAGGATTTCAAAACCATGTTGGGTAAGAAGGATTTTCTCCAAAGGAGGATGACTAGAACTAACAGAAGTAGTGTCAGAAGTTTTTCATTTATGTTTTGTGATTGTATTAATCTTTTTATAATATTTGTCAACATATTCTAATAAAGGTAATTCAAAACCATATTCAATCATAAAATCATACCATTGTCTAGTAATTTGGGACATTTGAGCATAATTATATTTAGCATAGTAAGTATGTCTGATTATTTTATTTTTAGGAGATTTAAATTCAATAAGTAATTTGTCTATATTAGGTTTAAAAGCTTTTTTGATTGTCAGTAATTGGGGATTGACAGGAGGTATAAATTCGTCAAAATCAGTTTGAGTTGGAGAATTATTAGAAGCAATTTCTTCTTCAGGTAAATGTGTGTGTGTAGAATAAACAAGTTTACTAATTTAAGAGGAAGTAGTATTATCAATGCCTTTTAATTTATTAGTGGAAGGCTGGCCTAGATGGATTTGACTATTTTTACGAAATAATGGAGTATTAAATATTTCATCTTCAGTTTCAATTTCAGTCGGAACACTAGATGTACTATGTCGAGAAGATTGACTACGATTAAATTTAATTCGGACAGAACCATCATTCTATTGTTGAATATCTTGGATATCTTGATTTGAGGATTGTTGTTGATTATGTTTGTAATTTTCATTGACAGTAACCTATTCATCAGGTAAGTCGATATTTTTCCATCCAATCATTTGAGGAACATTAATGTTGGATTCATGATTATTATTGCTTTGGATTAATAGAGTTCGATCTTTAGGACTCTTGTGTAAAGCATGAACATTTAAATTAGTTTGCATGCATTTATAATGAACACGATATATTAAAGCAATATTATAAACTTTTTCTTTCATGTTAGTAAATGAAACATGTAATTGAATGTTTAATGTCAATGCATCTAAAATATGTGGATCACGTAAACTAAGTGTAAAATCAGGAAAACAATTAAAATGTACTGGACCTTTATAAAGACCGGTTTCCATCATACCCATTAAACTATCATTGTAATTAAGAAAGCGAGCATCTCTTAAGCATAATAAAACAGAAGTATTTTTTCCTACTATAGTTAATGGATTAACACCAACTTGAATTAAACCAATATGCATAAAATTGTAATCATTATTTAAATGTCTTTTAATTAACTTAGCATCAAATAATCTACAGGTTCCTCTAGGTTTTTCTAAAGCATAAACTTGTTCAATTGTTTTAACATGTAAAGTTACTTTAAAAACATTCTGTATAAAAGTAGTTTTATAAATTTCTTTAATCGGTAGTTTAGGTATATTCCATCCTGCATCAATTTTATCTTTTTGTATTTCAACATCTTCTTCATTTATTACTAATCCTTGATTAGGTATTGAGGGCAAAGTTGTTATTGACCTAGAACTGACTGATGAGTTACTTCTAAATAATCAATTCATTGTTCTTTTTAATTAATCAGTTTTACAGATACCTTAATACATACCCTATTCTAGTTGTGTTATCACAGACCACAGTGGTTTGAGTACAAACCCTATTCGAGGAAACCCCTATGTCCTACACTGCCTAATCCTAAGGACTTACTCTGGACAGGGAACGAAAGTGGGTGACTTAAACCAGATAGATAAACACAGACTGATCTCTTGGGTGATTAAGATGAACTGAAAACTAGATTAATCAAATAAATAATGAAATTGATTAATTGGAAGAAACAAAGCAGTTAGAAACAGGATACAACTTAACTTAGCTTTGATACCAATTTAATAACAAAGCAAAAACAGCATTTAATAACAAGTACTTGTTATGTTTTAAATTTTTATGCTAGTCAAGATGTGAATCAGAGTTTTAATTAGAGGAATATGTACTTTGGAATTACTTGTGGATGGAAACTTATAATAGTTGTTGACTTTTATTAAATAGGTTCAGGATTGGATGATTTATGTATTTGTTAAATGTTCATGATTCAGATACTTTGTTGGTATGAATGATTCTTTTTAATTACAAATTATATTGAATGGATTGGATAGAATATTTGTCTTCAATTATAGGTTTATTTTGTTGGATGTTGGTGACCAAATTGTGGTTTTGCCGACCAAAATGTTGGTAGGCAAAATGGTACATTTGGCGACTAAATAATTAGTCGGTAAAATTGTTAATTTTGTCAATCAAAGAGTTTGGTCGCGAATAAGTCTATTGCCGACTAAACTTTTAGTCGCGCAAACATTACTTTTGGCGACTAATATCACTACAAAAAAAAAGGTCTTTGGTGACAAACTGATTTTGTCTCCAAACATCAATTTTTCGTCACTAAAGTGATCTGCGACGAAAAAAATTTGTCACCACGTTCGTGGCCTATACGTCGTCGCTAAAAGTACCTGGTGACGAAAAATAGTTTCATCGCCTATTTTTATTTTTGGTGACAAATTGTTTCGTCTCCGAATGTTGAATTTTCCGTCCTCTATAACATCAATTTTGTCACCAAAACTAAATAATATTTTATTTTAATTGTTTTTCACGACGAAATATTTCGTCACCAAATAAATTTTAGTGACGGAAGTTTTCCTCACCAACGATATGGATTAAGGTGACAAAAAAATTCGTCACTAAAATGAGCAGAAAAGAAAATTCTTCAATGACAAAAAACATTTTGTCACCAAATATTTCAATTTAGCGACAAAATATTCAGCAAATGTGACGAAATTATTTGTCTGGTATTGTATCATTAGTGACAAAATTATTCGTCATGTTTTTTACAAACTAATAGCGACATTTTTTATTTCGTCACTAATAAAAATTAAAAATTTTGAAAATGGGGGTACTATTTTCTTCCGAAATTTTTTGTTTTCAGTAACAATTCTCTGCGCATTTCAATAACCTGTTCAATAAAATATCTATTACAAATCAATAAAAAAATCTATTCATTTTCATAAACATCACATTCGAATTTCAGCACTATCCACAAAAATACAATATGAACTACATGCAGATTATAAATATGTCTCCTAATATCCACAAAAAACGTCTACTAATATCCACAAAAATTTAATATCAACCGCATGCGGATTACCAAACACATCTCCTAATATCCAACAGAAAACATGTCTACTAATATCAACAAAAATAAAATATCAAGGGCGGATTACCCAACATGCCCTGTAATACTAACAAAAATAGAAAATTTACAACCAACCAATATACATGTAAGGTAATATGAACAAAAACACAAGATGAGCTACCATCTGCCCTCCAAATTACCAAACATGTCCATATCAAATCTCGAATCTGCAAAAAAATGAAACACAAAAAAAAAAAAAACAAGTTAGACAATTATTATCTTATCCATAAAATATACAATTTAACATGCATTTTTCGAATTAGTTTTCAAATCGGGAGTCCTGTGCTAGTTCCGTAAGTTTTCACAACTCACATTGGTCCCTCCCGAAGTGTTTGAGGTGTTCCCCGGGCCGTCCCATGGCTGTTGCACGATTTTGGCCCCCGAAGGTCTATTTTCAAGCTTAAGTGTGAAAAAGTGCCTTTTTGGACTTAGTTTTCAAACTAGGAGTCCCGTGCTAGCTTCGTAAGTTTTCAAAACTCACATTGGTCCCTCCCGAGGTGTTTGAGGTGTTCCCCAGGCCATCTCGTGGTTGTTGCACGATTTTGGCCCCCGAAGGTCTATTTTCAAGCTTAAGTGTGAAAAAGTGTCTTTTTGGACATAGTTTTCAAACCGGAAGTCTCGTGCTAGTTCCGTAAGTTTCCACAACTCACATTGGTCCCTCCCGACGTGTTTGAGGTGTTCCCCAGGCCGTCCCGTGGCTGTTGCATGATTTTGGCCCCCAAAGGTCTATTTTCAAGCTTAAGTGTGAAAAAGTGCATTTTTGGACTTAGTTTTCAAACCGGGAGTCCCTTGCTAGTTCCGTAAGTTTTCACAACTCACATTGGTCCCTCCTGACGTGTTTGAAGTGTTCCCCGGGCCGTCCTATGGCTGTTGCACGATTTTGGCCCCTGGTGGCCTATTTTCAAGCTTAAGTGTGAAAAAGTGCATTTTTGGACTAAGTTTTCAAATCGGGAGTCCCATGCTAGTTCCGTAAGTTTCCACAACTTACATTGGTCCCTCCCGACGTGTTTGAGGTGTTCCCTGGGCCGTCCCATGGCTGTTGCACGATTTTGGCCCCCGGTGGCCTATTTTCAAGCTTAAGTGTGAAAAAGTATATTTTTTGACATAGTTTTCAAACCGGGAGTCCCGTGCTAGTTCCGTAAGTTTCCACAACTCACATTGGTCCCTCCCGACGTGTTTGAGGTGTTCCCCAGGCCGTCCCGTGGCTGTTGCATGATTTTGGCCCCCAAAGGTCTATTTTCAAGCTTAAGTGTGAAAAAGTACATTTTTGGACTTAGTTTTCAAACCGGGAGTCCTGTGCTAGTTCCGTAAGTTTTCAAAACTTACATTAGTCCCTCCCGAGGTGTTTGAGGTGGCCCCTGGGCCGTCTCGTGGCTGTTGCACGATTTTGGCCCTTGAAAGTCTATTTTCAAGCTTAAGTGTGAAAAAGTGCATTTTTGGACTTAGTTTTCAAACTGGGAGTCCCGTGCTAGTTCTGTAAGTTTTCACAACTCACATTGGTCCCTCCCAAGGTGTTTGAGATGGTCCCTGGGCTGTCTCATGGCTGTTGCACGATTTTGGCCCCCGGTGGCTTATTTTCAAGCTTAAGTGTGAAAAACTACATTTTTTGACTTAATTTTCAAACCAGGAGTCCTGTGCTAGTTCCGTAAGTTCCCACAACTCATATTGATCCCTCTTGAGGTGTTTGAGGTGGTCCCCGGGCCGTCTCATGGCTATTGCACAATTTTGGCCCCCGAATGTCTATTTTCAAGCTTAAGTGTGAGAAAGTGCATTTTTGGACTTAGTTTTCAAACCGGTCTCGTGCTAGTTCCGTAAGTTTCCACAACTCACATTGGTCCCTCCCAACGTGTTTGACATGGTCCCCGGGCCGTCTCGTGGCTATTGTACGATTTTGGCCCCCGAAGGTCTATTTTCAAGCTTAAGTGTGAAAAGTGCATTTTTGGACTTAGTTTTCAAACTGGGAGTCCTGTGCTAGTTCCGTAAGTTTTCACAACTCACATTGGTCCCTCCTGAGGTGTTTGAGGTGGTACCCAGGCCGTCTCGTGGCTGTTGCACGATTTTAGCCCCTGGTGGCCTATTTTCAACCTTAAGTGTGAAAAATTACATTTTTGGACTTAGTTTTCAAACCGGGAGTCCCGTGCTAGTTCCGTAAGTTCTCATAACTCACATTGGTCCCTTCCGAAGTATTTGAGGTGGTCCCTGGGCCGTCTCGTGGCTGTTGTACTATTTTGGCCCTCGAAGGTCTATTTTCAAGCTTACGTAGGAGAAGGTGCATTTTTGGACTTAGTTTTCAAACTAGGAGTCCCGTGCTGGTTCTGTAAGTTTTCACAA